ATTAATAACAGGAGAAAAGCGAAAGGGTTTCAGGAAAAACAGCCCATCGATTAAATGTTACATCTAAATGTAACATTTTTAAATGTAACATATAAATGTGACATATTTAAATGTAACCTTTAACATTTAACATTTCAATGTTAAATGTTAAATTTTTGAGACAGGATCTTGCTCTGTCACCTAGGCTGGGTCTGGAGTGCAGTGGTGTGATCATGGCTCACTGCAGCTTTGATCATTCCATCTTCTGGGCTCAAGTCATCCCCCAAGACTCAAGTCAGACTCCTGAGTAGCTGGGACAAGAGGCGCCTGTCACCAAATCTGGTTATTATTATTATTATTGAGACTGTCTCACTATATTGCCGAGGCTGGACTTGAACTCCTGGGCTTAAGTGACCCTCCCACACTGGCCTCCCAAAGTGCTGGGATTACAGACATGAATCACCACACCTGGCCTGTTTTTAGTTCAGTCCTTCTAAATGACTGGATGTGATCAATTCTTTTGTGTGCTTAATCAAATGTTTCCATCACTAATCTTCAAAACAAATGAAATCAATTTAATTCAGATTTCCATAATTGCTCATGCTCCTCCTTAACCTTCTCCTTAACTTTCTGGAATAATAAAATTTCCCAATACCATGGCCCCCCGCCACCCGCACCCGCCCCCCCACTTCCTGAAAATTTATGTGCTTCTTTTTGTTACAAAAAGTTTAAGTTGTCTGAGGCCCTGGGAAAATTCTATCACTATGGCAAGTCCAAGAAGAAACAAGGCACAGTTCTAAATGAAGATCTGTTTTGTCTCTACCACATACATGCCCTCACACAAATAGCAGGTTTCAGAAGGAGTTACTGGTGTAGAAGAAATCCACTACTATATTCACGGCAAACTTCCTCTTAGAAAAATGAAGAAATGAGGACGCCTTGTGTATGTTGCTGCTACTTAAGAGCAAATCCTTGAAACCAAAATCAGGAGATGGTTAGGAGTAAAAAAGAGCAAATACTAACTTTTAAAATCAACTTTTGAAAAAGAAAAACTTTATTGAAGCATAATTTACATACCGTAAAATTCACTCATTTTAAGTGTATAATCCCTAGAATTCTGAAACTTTTACTAAACTGTACAGTCATCACTGCAATGTAGTTTTAGAACACAGATTTCTATCATCTCAATTAGATTCCCTGTGCCCTTTTACAGTTCATTCCTGTTCCCAGCCCATGAACTTGGGTACCCGTGAATCTACTTTGTCTCTATTGATTTCCCTTTTGTCACATTTCCCTCTCTGAGTACAGTTTTAAAAAAGAAAGAGAGAGAGAGAGAAAGAAAGAGAAAGAAAGAAAAAGAAAGAGAAAGAAACAAAGAAGGAAAGAAAGAAAGAAAGAAAAAAGAAAGAAAGAAAGAAAGAAAGAAAGAAAGAAAGAAAGAAAGAAAGAAAGAAAGAAAGAAAGAGAAAGAAAGAAATCCAAGAGCATTTCCTACCAATAGAAGAATACAACTTACTGAGGAAGAACCACCTTGATAAAATAGAATTCTTAAGGAAGTCCAAAGATCCTGGACACCACACACATTGGTTGAATTAGAGTCAGAATAGTCTTTAAGATTTAATTATCTCTCCAGTTAGAGATAACAGACTTAGAGTTGCAAGGGATCTTGATAATTAAAGAATACTGTAGTAAGCCCTGTTATCGTAACTAAGAAAAGCCTCTGTCTCTAAAATTTT